TATATCAGGCTGTGGTCCCTGGTCTGGTCACTCTGGTCATAGGAACATCCTTCCACCATAAAATTCTGTCTAGTCCTGTCAGAATTTTATCAGTTTCTATGAGATTCTCTCACCCTAACCACCACCCCCCCAGCTTCTTTTCTGAACTCCAGCAAGTATAGTCCTAACTGATTCACTCTCTTTCCATACGTCAGTCCTGCCATCCCCAGGAATCAGTCTGATTTTAAAAAAAAAAAAAAAAAAAAAAACTTTGTTGCACTCCCTCCATAGCCAGAACATCTTTCCTCAGATAAGGAGAGCAAAACTGCATACTGTTCTAAATGTAGTCTCACTAAGACCTAGTACAACTGCAGCAAGACATCCCTGCTTCTGTACTCAAATCCTCTTACTATGAAGGCCAATGTACTATTTTCTTTCTTTATTGCCTGATGAAGCTACATGCTTACTTTCAGCAAGTGGCGTGGAAGCTTGTCCCATGCCTCACTGCACGACCCCTTTCCCCAGCCTGTTGCCATTCAGATAATAATCTATCTTCCTCTTTTGCTATCAAAGCAGATTGTATCCATATTATGCTTCACCTGCTGGACATTTTCCCACTCACTGAACACGGCCAAATCTCACTAAAGCATCTCTGCATCCTCCTCATAGTTCATCCTCCCAATGGGACATCTGCAAACTTGGAGATATTACATTTAGTTCCTTTATTTAAATCCTGAGAATGGGGGGTAGTTAGGGTCTGGATTCTTCTCTTCTGGGGCTATTTGGCTTGGTTGCTGAACAGAGTGGGACGCAGTTAGTCCATCAGGTCTCTCCAGAGAGACTGATGGCAAAGGTCTGTGCGTGCATGTGTGTATGTGTGGTGGCAATTGCATTGGGAAGGAGACTCGGCACATTAGTTTTCAGGACAGGGAGTTGCAGAATCGGGAGGGAGGGAGGAAGGATTCCAATTGATGAAGTGGGGCTAGTGTATTTGTAATGGAGTGGGAAACGGTAAGCATGACTGGGAAAGGGGCAATGAGGGTATGGTGGGACGTGTCCACCGTCAGGACATCCTCACTTCAATTTGGTTGGTTAGTGGCTTGGAGGTGAACTAGAAAGTACTGGTGTTCCCATGTTTCTGCTGTTTTTGTCCTTCTAGATGGAAATGGTCGTGGGTTTGGAAGGTGCTGTCTAGGATCTTTGGTGAATGTCCGTGGTATATCTTGTAGACAGTAAACACTGCTGCTACTGAGCGTCGTTGCTGGCAGGAATGGATGCTTGTAGATGTAGTGCCAAGCTTCTTGAGAGTTGTTGGAGTAATGCATTTGGCAAGTGGGGTATATTCCATCACACTCCTGACTTGTGCCTTGTAGATGATTGTCAGGCCTTGGGGAGTCAGATGAGTCACTCGCTGCAGTATTCCCAGCCTCTGACCTGTTCTTGCAGTCTGTGTTTATGTGGCGAGTCCAGTTGAATTTCTGGTCAATGGTAACCCCCGCCCCCCCCAAGACATTGATAGTGCGGGATTCAATTATGGTAACACTACTGAATGTCAAGGGGCATTGGTTAGATTGTCTGTCTCATATTGATGGTCATAGCCTGGCATTTGTATGACGCGAATCTTATTTGCCACTTGACAGGCCAGGCCTGCATTGTCCAGATCTTGTGCATTTGCACATGGACTGCTTCACTGTCTGAGAAGTTGTGAATGGAGTCGAATATTGTGCAATATCACTGAACATTCCCACCTCTGACCTTATGAGAGAGGGAAGATCATTGATGAAGCAGCTGAAGATGGTTGGGCCTAGGACTCTACCCTGAGGAACTCCTGTAGAGATGTCTTGGAGCCGAGATGACTGATCCCCGTCAACCATGATCATCTCTGTGCCAAACAGGACTCCAGCCACCGGAAAGTTTGCCCCTGATACCCATCGATTCCAGTTTTGCTAGGGCTCCTTGATGCCACACTTGATTGAATGCAACCTTGATGTCAAGGGTTGTCACTCTTGCATCACCTCTGGAATTTAGCTCTTTTGTCCATGTTTGAACCGAGCTGTAATGAGGTCAGGAGCTGAGTGGCCCTGGCAGAACCCAAACTGGGCTTCTCTGTGTGTGTTATTGCTGAGCAGGTGCTGCTTGATAGCACTGTTGATGACACCCTCCATTATGCATCCTGCATACCTGTCTGCTGCTCCTGTCCATGTGGTCTGAAGTTCTTGATTGCCAACGCTACAGGAATACTTTCCTGCCTGGGGCTGAGCAGGTACCTGATCTTCGGACATCGTGAGTCCCACCAGCCTAGAGTGTTTCTTCCTCGGCCATCAGCAGAGATGTAGCAGTGAAGTGCCCATCCAGTCGTCCTCCCATACTCTCAAAACCCAACATATCCACTAAAATGTTAGTATCTGAGCTGGCACGTGGGGAAGTAGCCTTGCCAGTGCTTCCTCCGAGGCCTTCGTACTTAAATCATCAGTGGTCAGGGAGGTGGCTTCTGTGGGAAGTGGGTGTTTCACAGTAGAGTGAGAGATAGCGAAGGCTGTGACACTTACCCTGCGACAGCAGAGAAGGTCACTTTGTTTCAACAATACTGATCACTCCTCCTCACCTTAGAAGTGGCACTGTCCTAGGTGGCGAGGTCAGCTGTCAGGATCTGGTAAGACATCTTCCCCTGCCTGTCATCTGGGATGAGGACTGCCCTCCTTTACACCACCCTGTCCACCAGGATCCCTGTTGGAGAATCATAGTGCCATCTTCCTCTTCTCTGCCATTTTCCAACTCCATTCTTGACCACATAGGGCAGCTTTGGAGTGACAATACCTATCCAAGTGCACAGCAGCCTTTTAAAGATGTGCAGACACAAGGGATAAGCCTCTTTCACTAGATATCAGCTGAGTGACAAGTTGTCCTAGGAATGGTGGGTGCACAATGAGGCTGGAATCTGATACGAGACATGTCACAGTGATGGAATATGTAATTAATGTAGAGAGTTTGTAACATGCAGCAAGAAAACTTGCTCATCCTCTAAAAAACTTGATGCAACTCTGATTCAGCCCCAAGGCTCAGAATTTTGGTGCTAGTATTGTTATCTGTCTCTGGGGAACCATGAAAAGAAAGATTCATTGCACCTTATCAAATATAAACAGAAACTTAACTATGTGAATTACATAGTAAGTATCACAGACACGAGGGGGCATTGCTGGC